TATATATATACAGATTACAGAAATAAATACAGTTTCCTCTGCTTTGTGCAAATTCTGAAAAATTATTATTTTTTTGCATCTCATTTCCAGGTCCTGTCAGCAGTATCCTGGTCAATAAGTATGGAAGTCGGCCTATTATGATTTTAGGAGGCTGCCTCTCAGGAGCAGGGCTCATCGCTGCCTCTTTTTGCAATACCGTCGAAGGCTTGTACTTCTGTGTCGGTGTAGTGGGAGGTATAATTAAAAACAAATAAAAAATTTTAAACATACACCATTGCTCTTATCCCATGCACTTTACAGTAATAGCACTCCTAGTGATGTTACACTCTTGTGACACATTTTAATATCACCCAGGGGACCTGTTTTCATTTCGAACTTTGTGTTATGATGTTTTCCAGGTCTGGGACTGGCATTCAATCTCAACCCAGCTCTCACAATGATTGGCAAATATTTCTACAAGAAACGCCCAATAGCTAATGGTATCGCTATGGCTGGTAGCCCAGTCTTTTTGTCTACTCTGGCTCCCCTGAACACCTGGTTCTTCGACCAATTCGGCTGGAAAGGGAGCTTCTTGATCCTGGGTGGACTTCTGCTGAATTGTTGTGTAGCTGGATCACTGATGAGGCCCATTGGGCCAAAACCCCAACCCGCTGTTAAAGCTGCTAACAGTAATAGCGAAGCCAGAGAGCAAAAGAGCGTGATGGCGATCATCAATGGTTTTATCGATCTGACGCTCTTCAAGCATCGTGGCTTCTTGCTGTACCTTCTGGGTAATGTAGTCATGTTCTTCGGCCTCTTCTCTCCTCTTGTGTTCCTCAGTAATTACGCCAAGAGTAAGGAAATTCCCAAGGAGAAGGCGGCTTTTCTGCTCTCTGTCCTGGCCTTTGTAGATATGGTTGCACGACCTTCAATGGGAATAGTTGCCAGCACGAAATGGGTCAGGCCAAGGGTGCAATACTTCTTTGCCGCATCCATTCTCCTTAACGGTGTGTGCCACCTGCTTGCCCCTCTGTCCACAGACTACACAGGGTTCGTGATTTACGCCATCTTCTTTGGGTTTGCCTTCGGCTGGCTGAGCTCTGTGCTGTTTGAGACCCTCATGGATCTTGTGGGATCTCAACGTTTCTCCAGTGCTGTGGGACTGGTGACGATTGTAGAATGTGGGCCAGTGTTACTGGGGCCTCCTTTACTAGGTGAGTAGTTTTAAATAGCATACCAAATAACAAAAAGTATTCGCCTGAAACTAGTGAAGGCAATATGTAGTTAAATGACCAGTCACATGATTTAAAATTAACTTTCCTTAATGCATTCAGATGCATTCAACTCTGTGAAAACGCGTTAACCATGCAGTCCCAGAAGAAAACACTTCTGCATGCCTTTGCAAAATTAAGATGCATAATGAGGAATAGATTAGGGCAATGTGCATTATTATCTTGCAAAACTTTTGTGAGTGAAAGCAAAAGCATGACCTACATTTGAATCACTTTTTGTTGAAAATGCATTAATGGATTCCACTTGGATCACTGATTTATATATATATATATATATATATATATAATAATTGTCTGCACTCACAGGAAAGTTCAATGACATCTACCATGACTACAAATATACATACATGGGCTGTGGAATTGTCCTGCTGGTTGGCAGTTTGTTTCTTTTCATCGGAATGGGCATCAACTACAGGCTACTGGATAAAGAAGCAAAAGAAGAATCCAAGAGAGCCAATCTGCAGGAGGAGCCTGGCAAAGAGGTTGTGGAAGCACTGGAAATACCTGATGACAATACTGCAGAGGATACTGTGTGACAATAGCTGATCCTGGTTTTATTCTGGGTGATTCTTACATTTCTGCACTCTCTACATCAAGGATTTGATTACAGACATCCATCTTGGACTATACAGGTTACTGAGGCAGTGATGCAAACATTTCAGTGCCTTGCATGAGCACATGGTCATGCAATTGATATTTTTATTTTTAGAATTTAACTTTAGCATAAAACATATGCATTTACTTTAGGACAAGAACTGTGGCTATTATTTTGGGGCATTTTATGTACGCTGAGAGTGAGAGAAAGATTAAATCAGTGAATATATGAAGAATTAATCTGCAAGAAACAAATGTTGCCTTCTAACAAAAAAGAGACTGGAGTAATGTGAAAGCGGTAGATATGCAAATACTGTCTCTTGTTAAATATATGCACAAATTAAACACATAATTTGGTAAATATTTTCAAAGTTAAAATGGTTAATGCATTGTTTTGTCAGTATACGTGGACAGCGTCAGCGTTATTTGGTGTATTCTTGTGTGTCTATGTGTGTAGTCTAGCAATTTAGTGATAAAAGATTATTTACTTGTTTGAAACTGTGTAAACACAAAAGCAATTTGTGTATAGCATAATGGGAAATAGTTTGTTAAATGCCAAATAAGTTAATATCAGAGTTGGTTTAAATGTTTGTGATTTTCTGTTGCAAAATGGTTCAAATAAAAATGATTCTCATTTTAATAAAAATTTCACAAAGCTTCACACCTCCTTTCAAGTGTTGGGGGTTAACCCTGGTGTTCTTTTGAGAATGACTATGATGTAAGTAGGCCTACCTCTGACTTCTTTTGCAAAATGTTCATCAGACCTCTTACCCATTTGATATTATTGAAGCTTTAACCTTTAGTTGTATGCACCTTTCATAAATGTGACAGGTATGTTAAACAATGCTTTAGGAAATAACTGAATAAAAGACAAACAACTGACAGGGAGTGTATTTTTACACCAGTCTGAAAATATCGTGAAAATTCAACGCCTTTGTTGCATTGGGTCTCTGCGGCGCCGAATTAAAATAATGTAGCCTACTTTTGAAACATGCTATAAATGTTAATGCTTGTCTTATAATTAGCGTTCTTTATATATATTAAAAAAAGTAAATAAATATTACATTTCGCGAGTCCCGAGTGACATGGGGTTAATAGCCGTCATTTAAGTTGCTACTGCTGTTGCCAAATTGAATCCGCCGCGCAAACCATTTAAAATCTGAGTCGCGTGAGTCAAACTGACTTCGGGTAAAAACCGTTGGTAAACGGAGTCGTAGTAATTATAAAAATATTCAGAAAGTGCTAGAGTGACTTGCTTAAAAGGTAATGAAATGTTTCTAAAATTACGTTTAATTACATATACGTAGTTTATAAAAGAGGGAAAGTAACGGAAATCAAATCATTTGTGAGGAATATTTACTAAAATTACCTTTGTTCAACTGCCTCAACTTTCGACTTGACGTTTCTCAGCTAACGTTAGCTAGTGTCTCAAAAGGGAAAAACTCAACAATAAAACTATTCGGTATATAGTTCTGAGGATTTTTGAAGTGATATATATTCGTTTGACTCCACAGCATGCAAAAACCATTCAACTTCAAACTGCTGGTGCCCCCAAGAGCTCATTTGAGTCAAGTTTCTGCAGTGAAGCCTCAGGAAACAGGCTTGTTTGAAGAAAACTCTGTTTTTTCTCCTTCAAACCAGGTTGGCAAACTTGTAAATTCGCTGTTGGTGCTATAATGTTGCTATTTGACCTCTGGCTGCTAAACTGCTGTGTGAACATTTAAATGTAACTTGGGATGATACGTGCATTTTGTTTGTAGAGTTATAACAAGTGTTCAGATATGGAGACCAGCCTGCCATTTCCATCCAAAATGGTGCTTCCTACGAAGACATCAAGAACTGGTAACATTTATAATCTAAATGGAAAGGTGTACTGTAATGAATAGGTTTTAATGAAGTCCATTAATCCTGATACTTTGTTCTTAAAGAGGGCACGAAGAAGGCTGCAGTCATGCCAATGGAAAAGGAGGAGGTCAGGTTAAATGCTTATTTCATTTTGTATTGTAGTTTACTGCTTAAATTATTATTCATTTATTTTTTTATAATCTATAATGGTTTAAGGTCCACATTATGAATTCAGTGAAATGCATAATGTCAGTAACTCTAAGCAGTTTAATAGCTGTTTTGCTTTTGCATTACAGACATCAGTAAGATCCAGCCAGCTGTACTCCAGATTGCTTGATGAAGCTGAGAAAATCAAACTCTGGAAGTTCAAAATAGATTCTGAGATTTCACAAAAAGACAGGAAGCTCCAGGAGAACAGAAAAACCATTGAGACGCAGCGAAAAGCTATTCAAGAGCTTCAGGTAAATCAGATTTGCAGGTAGTAGATTTATTTTTATTCTTTTTTTTTGTCTGCTTCACTAAAGACAGAATTATGACTTATGTCTTTTGCAGTTTGCAAATGAAGGTCTGAGCATGAAATTAGAGGATCAACTGAATGAGAATGAAGATCTTAGAAATACGTATGTACATCATGGGTAATTTTTATATAAGCACATATATTATATTATAATTTATTATATTCTTTATTATGCAGAAGCAATGCAACCAGAAATTTGTGTAACATTCTAAAGGACACATTTGAGAGATCTGCTGAGAAAATGAATCTGTGTAAGTGTGAGAGCATATTATAATATACTGTAGCTTAACACTAAATATGTTAATTCACTGACAGTTATTAGAGGACAATAATGTGTTTTTTATTTTGCCTGAATAGTTGAGGCTGAACGGGAAGAAACTCATGATCTGTTCTTACAGAACAATGAGAATATTCAGGTAACTACTTTAATTATTTATTTATTTATTTAAGATGGATGCATAGTTGACAATAGGCCGAACCCTAGATTAGGACAATCCTTTTCATGACATTGTAATTTGTTCATTTGCAGAGGATGGTGGCAGCATTTGAAGCTCTTCGGAAGCAAGCAGAAGCTGATCAGCAGGATATGTTGAAATGTGCTAATTTTTTAATTAATTTTTCTAATAATTTTTAACTAATTAAGTGAATTCATTTGAAGCATATGGTATATTTGACACAATGAATTGAGACATTTAAACAAACATTTTGTTAACATTCTACCTACAGTAAGAGAATGCCTTGCACAGTTTGAGGATCTTAAAGTGAAGTTGGAGAGTGAATGCCATGTGAAGGAGAAGGAGGTTAGTACCTTTGCTCATGAGCCTTACAATTAACTCATTTAGTCTGAAGGGGGCAGCACTTGCTTGATAATCTTGATTTTGAAAGATCTTGCATACAGTAACACTCACCTGTCTTTGTATTCTTGTTGTGACTAAAACACGTGTATTTTGTGTTGCTTGACTTTGACTTGTTGAGGTTGCTATGCTTCAAGAAGAACTCCAAGAAAAAGAAAACAATCTCAAAGATGTTTCACTAAAACTCAAAGAGGCACAGCAAAGCTCCAGTGTGATAGAGGAGTCAGCAAGTAAGAATGCATGAAACATTTGCGTCAGTCTTTTCTTGATTTTTTTTTTCAAAAAGTAATTTAGCTTCACTTTTGTTGTTTTTAGGGAAACATCAGAAATTACTTCAAAGCGTTACACAGGACCGGGAGGCACTTGAGGAGAAACTCAGGTTGACAGAGCAACTCAAATGGGAGATGGAGGTTTGTCCTTTTGCAAGGTCTTAATACAAATGTACTTACTTACCAGTAAGGATAGTACATAAATATTAAAATAATTAATGTTATGCATTGTATTGCTGTTCATAGGAAAAACAGAGAGCCCTAAATTACAAACTGGAACAAAGCAAGGAGAACCATGAGAAAGTTCTTCAAAAGAAAGACGATGAACTACAGGAACTAAACAACATCAAAGAGCAACAGTCAAACCAGCTTTCAGAGATGGAGCTGACAGTGAATTCTTTGCAGTCTTCACTAACTTCTGAGATAAAGAGGTATGTTAATGAGACTATATCAGCACAAGACCTAGCATAATTTTTTTGTAAATCTCAAACCATTATCACAGAAAAAAATTAAATTAAATATTTAATCAAGAACTTTAAAAATTGATTTAATCTTTTATTAAATGCTTTCTTTGTTTTCACAGGGCACAAGACCTTGAGACAAAGATAAGCTCCTTGGTGAATGAACTCAGTGACAACAACACAGAGTTGGGTGTGTTAAAACTGTCTATCTTAATGAATAATGATATTTTTTTGCATGCTTAGTACCATTCTAAAATCATTGGTTACACTATCTTCATGCAGAAGTTATCAAAGGGCAGAAAGAGGACCATAGCAAGCAAATACAGATACTCAAAGATGAGCTGGTTTGTATTTTCTTCTGTTTGAGCATTCACATTCTTTGAATTGCAATCATGAAACCAAGCTCATAGTGTTTCTGTAACAGGATGAGAAGTCAAACTCACTCTCGTCTATAAAGGAGGAATTAAAGACAAGGGAGGTTCAGGTATTCCAGCTTATTGCCTCACTTGAAGAGCAACAAAGTGAGGCAAATGATTTGAAGGTGAGGAAAAGGTCATTAAGCATTCATTGACATAGCAACATAGTAATTTAAGTGCTGCATGTGCTTCATATCTAACAATCACCCCTCTCAGGATGAAATGGAGAGTGTCAGCACAGAAAATAAAAACATGAAGGAAGCCCTGACAAAAGCTAGACTTGACAATGAAGAGCTGCAAGAAGTTGTAGTTTTAAAAGAGGTCAATATGTTTATATTTTGATTATATTACAAAGCATGTGTATTTATATGAGTTTTATGATGAAACATGGTCAAATAACTTAAATACTCACATTGAATCTGTACATCTTTCATCCAGGCTAAATTAAAAGAGGTGGAGGAACAATTGTCAGGTGCTTTGGAGAGCAGTTGTAAATCATCAAAAGAGGTAGAAAGATTGGAGAGGGACATAATGCAGCAGAAGTAAGAGCATCCATATAATTAATCTTTATATCTCGGACTGAGCCACTCATGTTAAAAACAATAAATGTAAATTTGTTTAGCCATTTGCTCCTCTAATTTATTGCTTACTGTTTCATATACTATACAGATAGTGTAAATAGATAGATGAATGTGTGTTTCGAGTTATTATATGTGGAAACAAGAATGTACACTAAATTTGGCTAACACTTTAGATTGGGACCAATTCTCACTATTAACTAGTTGCTTATTAACATGAATATTACTAGCATATTAGTGGTTTATTAGTACTTATAAAGTATATATTAATGGCTTATTCTGAATGACCATATTGTACATTCCTTAATCCTACACCATAAACTTAACAACTTACTAACTTAATCTTACTAACTATTAATAAACTGTAAATAGGAGTTTACTGAGGCAAAACTCGTAGTCAATAATTAGTTAATAGTAAGAACTGGTCCCCAAAATAATGTGTGACCTACATTTCTTATAAGAAAATAAGCTATAAAAACATTGTAATGTTCATTTAAATCTCATTAAATGAAGTATTTGGCCATTCTGCTATTGTACCATTGAAATCCATTCAATATTTTATGGAAATCTCTTTTTTTCTTCTTAAAGGGAGAAATATGAGGAGCTGATATTGAAGTTTAATGACCTGCAGATACAGAAGGACACCATTCAACAACAGGCTGATAGTGGTGCTTTAGAGAAGAAAGTCCTTCAGTCTCATCTCATGGTTTGTAAATTAAATAAAATCTCTGTATGTTGTAAATATGACAACGAGATCCTCAAATGCTGTATGTTGTGGTTTTTCTTTACAGAAAAGCGATGCAAATGCAGAAAGAGAGAAGACAGAAATAGAGAGACTTGAGAGAGAGAAACAACAGCTTCAGTAAGATTAGAAGAGACTTTCGTCTTGTAACATTTCAAATTTGGTTTTATTTGTTATATTTTGTCTTACATATACAATTTCATATTCCAGGGAGCAGGTGGATATTTTATCTGCAAAAATTGCTGGGCAGGATGAAGAGAGTAAGAATGTTCAGCAGCAGTTGAAGGAGAGTGTGCGTTCTTTTTTTTACTATTTAATTATTTTAGTTGAGTATCAAATCATGTATCTAACCATAATTCATGTTAAATCAAAATCACACCAATAGGGCAAAACCGCAAAGCGGGAACTTCTGTTAAAAGACAAACAAATCAAAGCACTGGAGTCAAAGGTAAAAAAAATCATATTGTGACATACATTACACTATTGTTCTCTGTACTCATTAAACACATTTTTAAATAGAATTTTTATTTATTCATTTTTTTCAGCTAACAAACACTAAAACAAAACTAGAGACCAAAACAAAAGCTAAAGAGGAATGTCTAAAAGAGGTAGATCATTTACTATTATTTTTCTGAATGATCAAATAATGTTGAAAGAAGTTTATGTTGAAAGTCAACATGAAACAGGATCTTGGAAATGTCAGCCAAAATTAATTTAATTTGTGACGAGTTTTTTGTGACAAGATTTAATACACATATACACTGCTTTCTCATACATTTGAAGTAAAACAGTGCTGAAGTAAAACTGGTCATGTTACAGTGTTTGACATATTTCTTGCAGATTATTAAATTGAAGGAAGATTCAGAAAGTATAGAGAAGTGTCACAAGGAGGAGCTTCAGAAAATAAGCTCTGACCTCGAAGACAAATCAACATCAGAGGCTCAACTCAACCTTGAGGTGAATTTTTTTTTATCAAATGCTATAACTGAAGAATTAAATTAAACTTGATGCAATGGAAGCAAATCCAGATGCGTCTGTCTGGAATTCTTCGTTCTGCACTGTCATGGTGGGGTTGTAAATCTGAGGGCCATCATAGAGTCCTCCTGAAATGACCAGCGTGTCATCTGGCAGTGCAAACGGCTCACCTATGAAAGGGACAATAATACCATTCATAGTGAATATTTATTCTTTATGATTACTGTAAACTAAATGCTAGATTAAATGTGCTTGCCCATCGCCCATGACTTGACGGCATGGTGTTGAAATTGGCCTGACAACTTTATCAGACTTTAACCTAAGGTGTAATGAGTGGTTGCTAGGTCTTTTAAAAATTCTATTTAAAAAAAATCATGGTTACCTTAGCAAAACACCACCAATAAGATCATTGATCATATTACAAGGAAATACTAGTTTTAACAGATGGGTTTTCCTAACCTGTATCTTCATTCTGGAGGCGGCGGTGAGTGTATTGGACACTTCTCTCTTTGCTCCTGCCGAACTTGTACATAAAATGTCCCAGAATTACCAGAACTATTACACCGAGCAGAATGCTGAATAAAATGGTCAGAGATTTCTCTGAATGATTCAGGCCACCGTCTGCTTTAAGATAGAGGTAGGAGTAGTTAGGCAGGGTAAACATATTTCATTATTTGGTTTACATTATTAATGCTAGGTTATGTTCAGACCTACCTTGAGATTCATTGAAGGAAGCTGAGCTGTTTTGAGTTACAGCAGTAGAAATAATCGCAGTGGATTGGGTCACTGCTGTAGTGCTTGATGTAGCACTTCCATTGCTGCTATGAGTGCTGTTGTCTGTAGAAGTGATGGCTGTTGAACTGATGTTGAATGTTGAGGATGTGGCTGATTGGGTTGTCTGAGCATTTTCTGTTGTGTTTAGCTTCCCTGCTGATCCTGTTACATTGCTTTGGTTGGGTCCCAAAGTAGTGGTGGGGGTTGTCCAGTTGTTTTGAGTTGTTGCGCTATCATTGTATGCTGAATAGCTTGATAAATTTGAGACATTTTCTGTGTGGTTTCCTGTTGCATTCAGAGGTGGAGCTATTGTAGTTGTCAAACTTGATGGTGACATACTGATCCTTTGTGCACCGGTTATATTATTCAAGACAAACGACAACAATATTAGCTGGCCACATACCAAAAACTGAAGAGTTAACACATCCATAACTGTTGCAACTGCTTGCTCCTTAAAAAAACAAAAACATATACTAAACATAAGTCACAACAGGTCAAGAGATAAGACATACACTTTCATACAGCGCATGACCTAATTCAGTGCATTTTATCTGTATGTGGTGTTGACATGTGGTTTCCTGTTAGGCGCTTGCAAAGTTTCCATTTATCTAGTACTTTTATTTCTGGTAAATAGGTAGCATCATGACTTCCTTTGTATTTTATTATTTAAACAATGTTTTTTCTCTTCTTAACCAAAATACCTTTTTTGTACTAGACATTTGAATTATTAATACATTGATTAAAAAATGAAATGCACACTTTGTTTAAAAGAACACATACAGGAAGTTGGAAGAACATAAGGCATTATAATAGTCTAAAATGGCGCTGACATGAAACCGAAGACAACAAAGAGCCACATGGTTTTGCATAGGCTAAACAAACAGCCATGGGCGACCCATTTATAAATGTCCCCCATCACAGATTTACCCTAATAAAGTGGCTTCCCATAATTTAATTGTTTCGCAGACAATTCTGTTGAATTTACATCCAGTATACATTATTGTTACAAAAGCTGTGTGTTATGGATCTTTTTAAAAGAAACGAATTCTTATTTCTTTCTCTCATCTTGCTTTCATTCTCCTACACCGTCTCATTTGTGTAATAGTTGTAGTTTATATAAAAACAGAATTAATATCGGACAAAAGAGCAGAACTTGCCTGTAAGCTGAAAGAAACGGTGGTAGTGAAAGCAGGAAGTAGCTGGCAGCAGTTATTACACTCCCCCACCTGCCGCAGGCTCCGCTCTCCACTTCCTGAAGAAAACAGCTCGGCTCCACGTCAAACAAACAGGTAGAGTGGGCCGGCCTTGAATGACTGACTTCCTTTACCGGCATCGAGGAGGCAGGTGTTCAGCCATTGTTTAACCCGTGTGTAACCAAAGTGTTTTTAACCCTTCACTCTGTTGCACTTGTTTGATTTCAGTGGTTTCTTCCTGAGTGCTACTTTATTTCTCAGTGAGTTTGACACGTAATCATTTGTCAAATTTTATTTCAAAACAATTCAGATTTATTACAAAACCTTTTACAGTATTCAAAACTTGATCATTAAAATCACAGAATTTTGATATAGTTTATGAGAAAAGCCCATATACAGTATAATGTAGCCTATTGACATAAAAATAAAAAGACTAATAAAAATAATTTCTTGCTTCTCTCATGGAAAGGTTTGAAAAGATTGAATGTATCATCATCACGTAACAATTTCAACATACAAAAAATACAGTCATAATTTACTATTTACAACATATCCAAAAACTGTTTGTTTTTCACATCAAAACTCAGTGATCTTCTCCTTGTAGTCTTTCTTTTTCAGTGCAATTTCATTGTCGCAGAAAACTGGACTCTCCAGCCCTTGGATATTTTTGGGATCTTTCTCAATTAAGTCTGAAACCTAAAAAGAAAAGAATGAAATGCAATTAAATGCAAAGTCAGCTTACTGCATGTTGTTGTTATCATTTTATTTTTTAACTGAAAAATACTATTTCAGACCTAAAAAACAATGTATAAAATTCAGTTTCTATGAGGGTTTTTTTTTTTTGTCACACTGGTAATGAAAGCTCTCACCTCTGAGTCTGAGCTTCTGCATCCAAAGCAGATGAGATCTGATTTTCCAATAAAGAGCTCAGGTCGAGCTTTCTCCTGCTTACAGCCACCTAAAGTAAAGATAAATAAGAGTTTAGGTTCAATCTCTGACTCTCTTTGCCACACCTAAAAGAAGATGAGAAAGAGTCACCTTACCTGTGATTGCACTAACTATTAGTCCTGTGACCATGGTCACTATTATGCCCACAGGGCAGAAGTACAGGTAGGACAATGAATACCAGTTGTCTGCCAAAGCTGGTCTTGGCCTGAAGAATGCCATGAGACAAGTTACCGTTAGCTTTGATTTCTGTTTGTTGCATTAAATTGATCAAAAATGACAATAGAGACATTTATAATGTTACAAAAGATTTCTATTTAAAACAAAGTATTATTTTTTATTTATATATATTTTTTTAATTTTCTATTTAGCAAAGAATTCTGAAAATGTATCACATTTCCACAAAAACTATTAAGAATTACAGAAATTGTTTTTCAGCATTGATAATAAGAAATATTTATCGAGTAGCAAATCAGCATATTAGAATGATGTCCTAAAAGACTGGATTAATGGCTGCTGAAAATTCAGCTTTGACATCACTGAAATAAATTACATTTAAAAATATTTGAAAACAGAAAACAATTATTTTAAATTGTACAAATATTTTTTAAATTAACTGCATCGGTGTGTTTTAATAAAATGAATGCAGGCTTGATGAGCATAAGAGACCCTGACCCCAACCTTTTGAATTGTTTTGTAAATATATACAAATATGGGATTGCTTACTGTGGAGTTGTGGTTTGTAGGACTGTGCTGAATGGTGTCATAGTGGTGGTTTCATTCATATCTGGTGCAATGCATCCTTCCACACTCAAGGAAAGCCGAAGGGTCTTCTCAGGTAAAGGAGGATACACCTGAGCTCCAATTCCCACCCATAACGTTATAGCCAGGCCGGAAATCAAACCAACTAAACCTCCCTGAAGGAACACAGTTAATCCGCATGAATCTGTGGTACTAGCTTAAGCCAGGCCTTAGTTAAATTAAGATATTTAAGTAGCTTTTATAAAAATGCCTTAGAAGAAAACGTTACATGTGTGCATCTTGAGACAGAACAATGGAACTGACACATTTTAAGATATGTCAGAGCAAGATATTTTCAGTTGAGACAGCTCAAACATGCGTTTTAGTCTGGGACTCGCCTTAAGCCATGTCTGTGAAACCGGGTGAAAGTTTAATTTTGGTTTAGTGTTAAAAGTGCATTAAGTACTTTTGTTAATATGACAGTGGTCTTGAAACCCTATTAGTGTGGATGCAGAATGATGTAAAAAGCAAGCATTTTTTAGTTACTGAAGCTACTGTAGAAATACCCTGTTCACAAACAGTTTCTATGGAAAACGTTACTTGGTGCACTTTTAAGACACTGGTTATTTGTTGAAAAAGATGCACAAAATGACACTTGAAATGTAGTAATGAGTACATTGAGATGTACGTTCTTACCGTGGAGTTCACACAGCGGAAGAACATACCCAGCAAATAAAGGCCCAAGAGAGGTCCACTGATCATACCAAATATAGACAAAGCTGCCTGTTGAGGAAGGGTTTCATAGCGTGTCATTACAGTCTGTTATCAGCAGAGGGCGCCTTTGATGCAGTGAAAAATTCAAGTTTTTCAGGAACAGTACTGCAATATTGCATTTAAAATGTTGGCTTTGTGTATAGAATAGATTTACCTGCAGTATATTGCCCATCAAAGATGCCACACCAGCCATACCGATGCACACGCCTCCATAGAATACACCTAGAGATAAGCAGCACAGCATTAACACGTCAGTCCATCATCCCCCTCCTCTACCATGTCCTGCTTCAGTTGTCAGTGTATATCCAGCTGTTGCACTGAAACTCACTCATGCCCATGTTGATCCAGGACAGCTGCCTCTCTGTCAGCCAGGGCCATGCTGGCTTCATGAAGTCCTCCACTGTGACAGCCACCAGAGCGTTGATACTCGACGACACTGTACTGTTGAAACCAGATACAATTAATGCTGACCTGACATCAACAAAATTCACATGTTGTGTTACATCATGACCTAACATTTAGAGGATCCCACACTTTGTGTCAGCTAAATTCTCATGTTCTAATTTAAGTATGTTCTGATATTTCAAATTGTTATAATAAATATAACAAAAAATATTTAAAATTTAGCAAATTATAATAATAATACATTTAATATAGTTTTATATTAAATTTTTTATATAGAAAACTATCATTAGTAAAATGTATATATATATATATATATATACACAGTGGGTACGG